ACATGATGTGCCTGTTTCCTGACTTATGTCAGCATTGTGGCATTGAAAAGCAAGCCTCCCGCATGCACGAGTCCCAACAGTTCCGAATGATCAATGTTCGGCTGAAAAGCATCCCATGCTCCCTAAACCACGAGCCGAGTGCACTACCTTGTGCGCCGCCTTCTGCTGCCAGTAGTATGGATCGGCTAAAAAGAGTGACTCGATTCACTCACTTGTGCTCCGTTGTGTGCTGCCAGTAGTATGGATCGGCTACCGAGTAGAGCGAGAAACCGACGGCTCCCCAGAAAATGCCGGAGAAAATGTCCTTATCGGTGTGAGGCACGCCGGGATCACCGGTATACGCGGGACCGAAAATCTTATCCATCCTGGATTCTGGTACTTGTAGTTAACCAGAAGAGGCTTGCACGCAACTTGAGGAGCGAAGCCAACAGCCGGGAAACAGCGCTACCAAGGAGCCGAAGCTGCAAGATAGCGACTCGGAGAACGGACCACCAGAAGGTCTTCGTTCCTAGCAGCTAAGAGACAGACATGCCTTAGCAACTAGGTTGCGTCTAGGAACTTGAATGTCTCTGGCGGATTGGGCTTGATCCTTGCTGCTTGAAGCTGGAGGAAATACCGGATTTCAAGTACGTTCTGATGCGTTTTCGTACATTGCCTTTCGGTTTTATGCGGTGATACGGGAGGCTGACTGATGGCTGGAGTGGATGGAGCTGTGCGGTATGGATGGAACGTTGAAAACTGTTTTGGTGAAATGAACGGTGAAGATGTGAAAAGCTGATGGCCTTTGGGATTGCCCTGGAAGGTTGACGTGGCAGTGACACCGTCCTGAACTTTGGGGAGGGCGTGCCTCTCCCACTTCCAGCGGAAATTCTCGATAAGCTTCCTGCGCTTCTCTGTAACGCAAATATAATACTGTACAGTTAATCTTCTAGTTATGACGAAAACCTTTTCGCCCAAAAGGGCAAAACTTGCGACCTAATGTTGGCCCCACGAAGAGAGTAGACACAAATGCAGGCATTTGCAGAGGACGTTAGCCTCGTGTCAAAGAGAGCCTGAGAGCCATCATCTTTGAAGATAATGATATATTTTCACAATCAACTTTTGACTCGTGTCGATAATTTTTTTCTCGGTGCCGTTGGATAGGGCTAGGTTAGAGCTGGGGGGAGTAGCATTCCAGGACTGGGCAAATTTGTTGCCTCCAAGCCTTCACATAGTGCACTGCAGGAAAGACGGCACTGCGAGTCATAAGAGTACTCTAGAAGTTGAAAGGCATTGAGGCCTCAGCATCTTCAGTTGTTGCACACGGTTGCACCAGCTCGGGCTCCATTCGTTGCTCTTTTTTCGGGCATGAGTGCATAAACCGCTACGCTGGCTGCTCGACGCTCATTTTTAAGAACCGCTTAGAACTGCTTAGAACCGCTTAGAACCGCGTAGCTCTCCCAGTGAAAATTGGCCGGCATGGCCTCTCCCGCGCCACCATTCCCACAAGCGCCGGCAGCCACGTCAGCAGCGATGACGGCGCCGTCAGGTCTCGCTGCTTCTGCTGGCGGGCCGGTAGACCACTACCCGCAGCCGTTAGCGACGCACGAGGCGATTCTGGGAGATCGCGTGCTGTTCCTTGACTTGCTGGCGCGGTTTCACAACCAGATGGGCGGATCGCTGAGGTGAGAGGGGAGCCACAGGCTTGCATCACTGAAAATGCGAGAGAGGACTTTCAGCGTTGCCTCATTATACAGGTGAAAGTGGAGACGGATTTAGCCCGTGCTGTACCTTGACTTGCCAGCCCGGTTTCACAGCTGAAGTCTTCTCTTCCGTCTCGCTGCTGCTATCAGGATTCCTCAGATGGGAGGGAGGGAGTTGGATCTGCACCTGCTGTACCGTGAAGTGACTGGCAGAGGAGGGCTCATGCAGGTGAGGACCGACCGACCGGTGCAGTGCAGGTGTGGCCTGGTGCAGGTATTATTCATCGAGGGGAGATACGAAGGTGGGCTTGCACCTGCTGTACCGTGAATTGATAGGCAGAGGAGGGCTCATGCAGGTGAGACCTGGTACAGGTGAGACCTGGTGCAGGTGGTGGAGGCGAGGGGGGGACAACGCATCAAAGCATCTGCTTTTTTCCTGTTCATTTCCCATTGCTTGTGTAAGTAGTTTAGCTTTGAGACGCCTCAAAACAGAACTACTCACACACAACACAAAGCATCTGCCCTTTTTCTGTTACGTTCCCATTGCTTCTTGGAGTGAATGGTATCAAGGTGCAATGGCTAGTATCTTTTGCATCAACTCAAATCACACTTCCCCCCCCTTTTTCCCCCCACCCTTCCTGCTCTCCTCCTTTCAGGTGACAGCCGATCGCAAGTGGAGGGACGTGACGATCCCCTTTGACTTCCCGCCCACCACCACCAGCGCATGCATCCTACGTGCTTTTGAGGCGCCTAAAAAATGCATCCTACGTGCTTTTGAGGCGCCTAAAAAATGCATCCTACATGCTTTTGAGGCGCCTCAAAAATGCATCCTACGTGCTTTTGAGGCGCCTAAAAAATGCATCCTACGTGCTTTTGAGGCGCCTCAAAAATGCATCCTACGTGCTTTTGAGGCGCCTCAAAAATGCATCCTACGTGCTTTTGAGGCGCCTCAAAAATGCATCCTACGTGCTTCTAGATGTTCCCCCCGTTCCCCTCCACCCTCTCCCCTCCCACTACCACCCCTCTGGCCCTTCCATTCTTGCTCCTTGCAGGTGATAGCGGACCGCAAGTGGCGGGACGTGACGTGACAATCCGCTTTGACTTCCCGCCCACCATGACCAGCGCATCCTACATGGCCTCCCCTTCCCTCCTCCTGCGTTCCACCTCTGGTACTTACCCGTTGTTCCTTGCAGGTGATAGCGGACCGCAAGTGGCGGGACGTGACGATCCCCTTTGACTTCCCGCCCACCACGACCAGCGCATCCTACGTGCTTCGCAAGTTCTACATAAATCTGCTGCACCACTTCGAGCAAACCTACTTCTTCAGGAGTCAGGGCCCTCTCGTCCCTCCCCCCCGTAAGTTTTTTTTTATTTGCCCTGCCACGGGGAGAAAGTAGGAGGTCAAGTAGTTTAGTTTTGAGACGTCTCAAAACTAAACTACTTAACCTCGTCCCTCCCCCCATGAGTACTTTTTGATTTGACCTGCGGGGGGAAAGGGGGGAGGGGGGGAAGGGGGGGAGAAAGAGAGGCCATCAGCGCATCCTAAGTACGTTCTGCGCAAGTTCTACATCAAGCTTCTGCACCACTTCGAGCAGACCTACTTCTTCAGGAGTCAGGGGCCCCTTGTGCCCCCCCCCTCGTGAGTCCCTCTGTCGCCCCCGTGAGAGTGCCTTCTGAGCTGTACTGCCAGAGAGAGAGGTCAGCGCCACTAGCGCTTCCTACGTGCTGCGCAAGTTCTACATCAACCTGTTCCGCCACTTCGAGCAGACCTACTTCTTCAGGAGACAGAGGCCCCTTGTGCACCCCCCTCGTGAGTCCCCCCGTTCCCCCATGAGAGTACCTTCTGAGCTGTGAGCTGTACTGACTGCCATAGAGAGACCACCACCACCAGCGCATCCTACTTTCTGCACAAGTTCTACATCAGTCTGTTCCCAATCCATCACTTCGAGCAGACCTACGTCTATCGGAGTCAGGGATCCCTTGTGCCTCCCCCTCGTGAGCACTTTCGGATCTGCACTGCGAGAGAGACACCACCACCACCAGTGTGCATCCTACGTGCAGTGCAAGTTCTAAATCAACCTGCTGCACCATTTTGAACAGACCTACTTCTTCAGGAGTCAGGGGCCCCTTGTGCTCCCCCCCCGTGAGTATCTCCCCCCTGTGAGTATCTCCCCCCTGTGAGTATCTCCTCCCTGTGAGTATCTCCCCCCTGTGAGTATGTCCCCCCTGTGAGTATCTCCCCCCTGTGAGTATCTCCCCCCCGTGAGTATCTCCCCCCCGTGAGTATCTCCCCCCGTGAGTATCTCCCCCCCGTGAGTATCTCCCCCCCGTGAGTATCTCCTCCCCGTGAGTATCTCCCCCCCGTGAGTATCTCCCCCCGTGAGTATCTCCTCCCTGTGAGTATCTCCCCCTCGGGAGTATCTCCCCCCTGTGAGTATTCCCCCCTCGTGAGTGCTAATATTATCTCCCTCCTCTCCCTCCTCCCCTCCCTTGAGTGCAGCGCTCACCCACTTCCCTCGTAAGCGCGGGGCAAGAAGAGCGCAAGGCGTTGAAGCCCCCCCTCTTGTGTCCTTCCCTCCCTCCTTGTACTCTTCTCCCTCTCCCCCCCACCCCCCCCTCCCCTCCCTTGAGTGCAGCGCTCACCCACTTCCCTCGTAAGCGCGGGGCAAGGAGAGCGCAAGGCGTTGAAGCCCCCCCACGTGAGTCCGTTCCTCTTTGTTCCATTTTTCCCCTACCACTGCACAAGCCGACCTCTCTGCCTGTTATCCCTGGGATGTTTGTTTTTCCTGACAATCTCTACCCTCTCTCTTTTCCCACAATCGTTTTTCTTCTGACAATCTCGCCTCCTCACACAACACCAGCCCTGCGGCTGGCCACCAAAAGAGACCGCAATTCACCCACTCGCTCCCCCCTTCCCTCCTCACAACACCAGCGCCCCAGCTGGCCAACATAGGGCGCAACATCTCGGGCATCATTCGCTCCAAGTGCGACAACGGCTACTTCATCACCGTGCCCATGGGCGACCAGGTATGCTACCCTCTGTCTGCTGTAGCCCCCCCCTGCGGATCAGCGTCTCAGCACCAGGGCATACGTTCTGCGCCATCACATCAGCATGCATGCAATGCGAGTGCGTCAACGGCTACTTCATCACCGTGCCCATGGGCGACCAGGTATGCTACCCTCTGTCTGCTGTAGCCCCCCCTGCGGATCAGCGTCTCAGCACCAGGGCATACGTTCTGCGCCATCACATCAGCATGCATGCAATGCGAGTGCGTCAACGGCTACTTCATCACCGTGCCCATGGGCGACCAGGTATGTGGCTCGTCTTCTGTAGAATCTGTACCATCATGATCGGCTCGCCCACTCACCCCACCTCCCTGGCACCATTTGCTCCAAGTGCGACAATGGCTACTACATCACCGTGCCCATTGGCGACAAGGTATGCTTCCCCTGCCCCTCCCCCCTCGCCCATGTGCCTCCTCCCCTCCCCCCCCAACTGCCCTCCCCCCCTCCAACTGCCTTCGCCCCCCAACTGTCCTCCCCCCCGCACCTCTTCGGGCCTCAGCCAGTCAACTCCATTCTGATTACCATGATCACCATGATCACCATGATCACCATGATCACCATGATCACCATGATCCCCATGATCACCATGATCACCATGATCCCCATGATCACCATGATCACCAAGATCACCATGATCACCAAGATCACCATGATCACCAAGATCACCATGATCACCAAGATCACCATGATCACCAAGATCACCATGATCACCAAGATCACCATGATCACCAAGATCACCAAGATCACCATGATCACCATGATCACCAAGATCACCATGATCACCATGATCACCAAGATCACCATGATCACCATGATCACCATGATCA